ACGGTGTTTACCGGATGAACAAAAAATAAAAAACGTTGGGTAGCTATTTAAATATATATGTACGAGTACATTATATTTAAAATATTTCGACGATGACGATTGATTTTCTCCTCATCTGTCGATGAAACGAATAAATCGCGGTCTCGGTATATTACACCGTGAGGTATAGCCTATTGTCAGAAGGATATTATTCATATAAGAAAACTGACGATATGCTTCCGGAACATCAGTCTGCAATAATTTTTACACGGTCATGAGGTTGATAAAAATCAAACGGAACGAATTCACAGTAAATACACGGGTAGGTACTTGGGATGAATCGAGAATATTTTCGACTGTCAATTATTATAAATTACGCTGTAAGGACCCTCGGTATAGTATATTAATATAAAAAGCACGCATAATTATACAGGGTGGTTATAATAATAATAGTAACAAAGATATTGTGCACGGTCTTATTTAATGGGATTTTCAACTTAAGTCATGCCGAGGATCGATATTGGCAGGAAAAAATTCGAAACGAGTTTTATTATATTATACATATACAAAGATTCCAGATGGATATAATTAACTAAAATAAGCATGATGCCGATTTATCAAGGGTGAAAGAATTCAGTGGTCCGTATATAGTATGCATCGAAAATAAAATTAATCAAAAGGCCTTTGTGGCAAAAGGTGTATCAATAAAGTGGTGAGCTTAGAAAAGATGGATAGCTGCGTAGAGGAAGGATTTAGAGCGTTGGGCATAGAGAATTTAAAGGAAGTTATACAAGATATAGGTATCAGGTGGTTTCTACATTCTTTCTGAATTCCTGCATTATAACTATCATTTTCTCGATTTTTGGATCCAACTGGCAATTTGCAATAACACTTTATTGGCATATTTTCGTATTATTTTAAATTTAGACAGTGCCCGCCCGTAATATCTATCAATATGATATCAAAGCCCATTTCCAGTCCTGTATTTTAACCTGTTTAAAAAGTATAAAACATATAAATAGCATAAACTCGTAATAAAATACTGAAATCGATACCGATAAATACGAGTACTTTGGTTTCAATTTTACATTTACCACTGTCTTGCGTGTACGAAAATATAATTTATACCTACACAAATGACAATAAATCGAAACTATGTCAAACAATGGGGTGAAATTATAGACGTTCACGTTATAGTATGGTAACTAACAAAATTTAGCAATCCTTTTTTTATGTGTTGAAATCTGCAAAGATTAAAATATATTATATATATTCGTAAGACAATATATTATATTAACTTATTACGTCCATAAATCGGGCACGACGTGGAAAGGACTACGTTGTTTATTATTATTTAAATACATTTAAATAATTATTTAACACGTGCAAATATTTAAAAAAAAACACCCCCCAAGAACAATTACTCTTCCGTAAAAATGGTCAACGTTTTAAATTACATTTTCGTTTGGGGAAAAAACGTACTTACGGTGTAAATTGATTAAATGTTTCGTCGAGTTTCGATCATATGTTAAATTCGTAAACAACCATTTGCAACATGTGTGTGGGACCGGACACAATAGATGGTCATTAATTATATGGCCATTTAATATGTAGGTAAAAAATACGAAAATACGATGTTGCCAACGTGCCAATATTCGGTGATGATAATATGGTATATAAATCGATTAGATATTTACCCGCTTTTTTTACTCGTATACCAGCTTATAAAACGATACGATTATCCGCTTGTTGAGAAAAATTTAGTTCACTAAGCGTATATGATTACATGTAATTTTTGAAGACTCGATTGTGTGTGTTTATAATTGTATTATTAATAAGACATAATTTTATATAAGTGTAACATGCAAAGATCGTGAGTGAAATTTGAATTAAAACTATCAAGCGAATAACTACTTTGATTAAGATTAATAATGCCTGATTTCTAAGACGAAACCATTCATAGCACTAGAGTTTAAAATGTTTGAATTAAACATCATAATACTCTATATAGTATACATATTAATCAAAATATATTTTAACATACTATGTTATTAAATTGCATAACTTATCAAACTGATCGTCAGTATTTCATAATTAGTTATAACACTATTGTGTTTAGCATTTTCGTATAACTGAAATGTCCGCTGGCAATTGGTTCTTCCTAAACGGTGCAGCATCATAATATAGAATATTCTGAGGCTATGAATCCGGAATCTAGTGACATAAGACAAATGAAAAATAAAACTACTAGTAATTTAAAAATTAACCGATATACCTCGAGCATATTAATTTTGATTACGGTGTCTGGTATGTTTCTAAATAATTATTTTTTCAAACGTACACTATAGCTGTTGTGACGTTCGTGTTATTATTGTTCTATATTATAATCTTTGTCATTTTTGAATGGCTAAGTGGATGCAATATACATTACTTTTCGTGTTACGTTATAATAGAATTTTAAGTTTCTATATAGCTATACAATTTAAATTACCACGATCCTTTACCATAACATTACACAGCTATTTACTAAAGGTCGCAAAGAGTAAAACGGATTACCCTTCCGCAATTGTATTTCATACACGTGAATCATTTTGCTATTGTGCGACGGCCTTAAGACCAGGTCGACGATTCGCATCGCGGGGGTGGGACTCTGGGATAGGTTACTTACCGATATGCGTTTGGTATATAATACGGTACCGTAGCATATTGTTCTATAATATTATGATATGGTGTAAACCCGGTACATGGTGAGAAACGATACGTTTCACGCCACCGCTACGGTAAACTACAATTATTGTGTTATCGTTTTGACGGCTGCAGGGGCGGACTTGACCAAAACACGTTATTATTATAATTTATATGAATATAAATATATATAATATATATGTACATATGTACTTACGCAGGACGTATACGGTAGGTAATAAATATTAAAAATAATACAAAACGTTCTGTTGACGGGATTCGCGTATTGTTTCGAAAAATAAAAACAGTGCTAATAATTATTCAAATACTCTGCCGAAACAATAGACAACACGCCTAACAACCGAACTAGGGCTGGGAATATTATAAGTTTATAAAAAAACGAAGTTTGGAAAAATAATAACAAAAACATAATAATATTATTTATAAAGGCCGGACGTGTTGTAGACGGGTAGTTGGAAAGGTAGGATAATATATATAGGGTAATTTAGTTAGGTAATATACATTATAATATACTGTATGCGACGATAAATCACTGTAAGCGAAAAACGATTCCTGGACAGAGAAGTCTTGGTCGTTTTTCATCTTGTTGCCAAGGTAACTCAGAAATCAACAAAAACATAAACTTGCACAAAAATATAACCTAATGAATGAACTGTAACTTTAGTTTCATCGGCCGGAAATATCACATATTTTATGGTATGCAGTGAAAATATCTGATCATTTTTACTAACTAAAAGAGTTTTTCCGTGTGAAAAAAATACATATTTTTAAAACTATAATAACTTCGTTTTGCTATCATTATTACTACGATGTTATTTACGATCTTTAAGGGAATTTCGTATCATAATTCTACAGTGGTGTAAAGTAAGGTAATTCTTTTTTTTGAAGAGGGAGAATGACAGACAAATCTATTTATTGCTGATTGCAGATTTTACAGTGTAAATCTATTCGGTCGACTCGTGTAAATTTTGGGGTGTGGCAAGTCACCCGTTAGACCCTCTTTATAGTTTCACCCCTGACCGAACTACCACTGTACACTTCATACAATATGTAAGTGTTAACAAGAGGGCACTGAATATAATCATAACATGTTTATTTTGCAAATTTCAGTTAATAGCGAATTTCCGAATTATATTACAACACCGACTATGAAAACAACGAGGGAAACATTCCCAGAGATATTTCTATGGTAATTTTATATAGGTAGTGTATATGTTCAAACTTTCTCAAACCAAATCTGTAGTGACATATTTACGATGACCTTCTGTAAGGGGGATGAATCGCAGGGAAGAAAAAAAAAATCAGCGCATAATCATCGAAATTCTGTTTCCTCCTTTTTTTTTTTTTTATCAATTTGTACGTTTATATACTATAGGTATTTTAGAATAGTATGGATCATATTTTTTTTACAACACTAATACATGATTCTGGTTTGTTTTGTAAATATATTATATTATATAACAAAAAAATAGGCCCAGCGGACTCGCACATTGAGAGGGTTCAAAGTTCGTACTATTCTCGTGATTGTAGTATAAGTATAAACTATTTTTAGGATTTTTCATTCACTGATACCAGTTTAAGTATAATATTATTTGTCAAATTCAATAAGTTTATATCACATTCCATTATGCAGTTAGAAGCCTCTAACAGTTTTGATATTAAGTAATATCAATAGGTTAGGTTATAAGATGCGAGATTTCCCACGCTCGTTATTTTGAGAAATGCATAAGGTTGTATAAGATATATTTTCTGTTTCTCAAAAAAATGATATAATCATTTATTTGATATTATTGAAATTATATATTTATATTATAGTAATTATATTAATTTACTTTGTACTGTAAATTCGATTTTTCACACAATCTGTTATAAACGCGACGACCCTTTCTCGAATATAACTGTGCTAGTCAAATCATTTTCGGTAAATTTTAGGTGAATTTTCGGTCATTATGGGTTTCTAAAAATAAGTTTATGTATTAGTTACTCTATAGTACATAGTTTCGGGTGTTGATTTGGTTGAAAACGAAATATATTATATTATTCGTAAAATTGTTATAGTTATTAAAGCATATTAAACTATTAAAAGAAAAAATGAAAAGAATATTAAAGAACAGGTACCAAAATATTATATTATAAAGCGAATTGTCAATTTTCTCTCGTCTATCGCTTTCGTGTCACGCGTCATGTTTTTGTGCGCGTGTTGTGGTGTATAATTTAGATAATATAAAATGCAGTTACGTGATGAATTAGGGTAAATAAAATAATTAATCCCTAGCCGTTTGTGATTAGCCTATGTTTATATCTCCATGTTGTTTGTTTTGTTGACAGAGCGGTACTGAATGAAATCGTTTATTTCGTTAATTAATTTGTGTTTTTTTTCGTTTACAAGATAAATTTCATGATGACGTAAAAACAATATCGATCATTATAATAATACGTAATTTCGCATTTTTCCTTAAAAGATGCAGAATTTCCTCCCGATGGCACTTTTACATTTAAAACACTTTCAGAAATGCTCAACAGTTCACCCCTAGATGTTTTTTTTTTTCGGTTTACTTAAACTTATAGCGATAAATTTTTGTTCGAATAATATTTAAATAAATATAATATTAAATTATACCAAACAACAAAAACCATAACAAAGCACGCCTTAACCGGTATGTAAGTTCAAAAATAATATTGTACAACTATAATATAGTTGTACTAAAGAATATTATTCTTTAGTGGCGAACTGGCGTGTATAAATATTGCCCAATTATTGTCGAAAAGAATTATAAGATACGATATTCGGCAAGTCTATATATTATATAACTGTATAATTATGAAATCGGACATCTTAAATTTACTACAGTGACTAATGTATATTATAATTTTATTCATAAACCTGTTTTTGTTTTTCGATATTAATATTATAGTTATATATATACAATATTAAATTATAATATTTAATTGTTTCAAACAATATAAACGAAAAATAAATAAATAAATAAATATAAATACTTACGCAAAATATTAAAATGATTCTCATTAAATATTTAATATAATATAACACATAAATCATTTTAATGTATTGTATTATGTTAATTATTGGGCTACTATAATGCATTCTGATGTAAATAGATGTTGGTTTTTTTTTAAAAAAATGTATATTAAATAATTACAATATGCACTTTACAAATGTTCGACAACAAATAATAATTAAACAATTCAAATTCGAGGATTATTTTCCCATTGCCCTCCTCCATTGACTTAAAAATATAATAACTATATGAGTATTTATTTTGTAATTTTTTTTTAAGTATACATATTGTAAACCAAGTTTCAAGGAAAATTTTGATCTACCAAAGAAAAATTAGCTTTTTCAAATTTTGCTTTTAAATTATCATTGTTGAGTTACGTACCTATATGATATTATACCTCTTGAAAAAGATTCAGCTACCTATTTATTTATTCTTTGCGATTATTACTATTATTACTATATCGGTCAGTTAAAAATTCCTAAACACACCTCTGTATTATAATTTCTACTATATTTCACATCCTACTATAAATATATAATAATGTATTATAAATGTAAAATTGTATTTGAATGGATGGATGGACGGATAAATGGATAGATGGATACATGTTTGTTACCACTTATCGCCTAATCTACAGAACTATAAGAGCTGAAACTTTACACAGGTATAGTTTTAGACCAGAAATAACACATAGATTTCCCCTCGAATTCATAAAGGAGGGCTGACAGGATTATTGGTATTTCAAGAATAAAAATCGAATGATTTTATTGATTTATGGATTCACCTCGGTGCTACTTTAATAAAAAAAATAAAATAAAAATGTCATCCGTGCAAGGGTTATAACAGCATAATTATAATTTGTTAATTTTTTTTTTTTGGCACGGGCAATGTTGGGCGGGTCAAATACTACGATAGTTTTTATGTATATCATCACGTCTATTTGAACAATTCTTGTCCAGTTAAAAAAATATGTTTTATGATAAATATTTTTTTATAAAATTAAAACTCTCGTAACAGCCTGATTCTATTTAATTTTATATTTTCAAGCGAAATATTTGTATTACTGATATGTATAATAATCGGCACAATATTAAAAAATAAATAAATAAAATAGTTTATTATATTTTTTGTAACTACGGACCGGGCTTTAATGCAAAACATATTTATTTTTTTTTTTTTATTACTATACGCGTAACAGATACCTATTTCGAAAATGAAACTTTTATTTTTCAATTTTCATTATTTTTTCATTATTATTTTCTTTTTTTTTTTCGTTGTTTGTGAATATAATTACGATTTTCAAACAAAATTTCGTTTTGGAATATAAAATTAAAAACAACATGGGTCAGGTAACAAAATATAATTTTTTTTTCTTTCTTATTAAAACGCGCCTATAAATAGGTATAGGTACATAAAGTAATAAAAAGAATACCAACTGTCGAATCGCTCGAGAAACAAGTTTTGTGTTTAACTATATATACGATATGTAACGTTCGTTAACAGTATACATTTTTTTTTTTTTTTTTTTTTTTTTTTTTTTGGTTTTTTTTGGGGGGG